TATATATATACATGTTCACCTTGCTTTAGATGCAAAAATTCTAAGAAATACGAATAACACGAATAAATCTATTAGAAATTAATATAATATAATAATAATAATATAATAAATAGCCTGTTTTTATTATTTCATTGTATTAAAATTTTTCCTCGTTTTTGTCAAACTTCAAAAATATATCGATTTTAAATTTAAAAAAATTTTTTTATTTTAAACGGATTTAAAAGCAAAGTATTTTTAAAAATTCTATTATGTTGTGATTGGTGACACAGATTTTTGTCCAGTTAGTATTTCTAAATATTTTTTAAACTATTTCACCCAAACTGTAATTATAATAAGTTATATTACACTTTTGTTAATATAGATTAACTTTTTGGATTAATCTCAATTTAATTTACTTTTAACTTACATTAATACATACACAATGTAAAATGAACAAGTAAAAAGTAATCAATCAAAATGCCCATCTTTCATTCCGATTCTATTCTGATTTTAAAACGATCAAATTTCTCGAGATGGAAAGAGAAGGAAAAAGATAAACCGAGCAAGAATTCAGCTGAAAAGAACAGGCCTACTAGGAAAGTAACTCGCTGATATCTAGGTGCACTCAGGTATTATTTTTGAACACATCGCAATGGCTGAACGCTTGACGGAGAGGCAAGGAGAGGGGAAACAGCTGTTCGGTGGTGGACATGTTTATCGCAGCGGCCGTGCGGGGATGCGTTGTCGTTCCGGGGTGCATACGTCGACTTGGGAGATAGCACGGGCGGGAATGATGTGATGACGAGGAATGTGGTGAATGACGCCCGGACTGAGTTGGTGAGCGCGCTACGTCCGGTGCTACGTGCGTGAAAAACGCGTCGTCGTCGGTGGGTTATGTGTCGACGGGCCGCGCGCAATTATTATCATGGCGCAGTGCAAGTTAACCCCGCGCGAGTTTATCGGCAACGCATTCTCCCCGCAGATCGCCGTGGTCTGCTCGGCCGCGGCCGACGCCGCGTGCCAGAAAAATAATCTCTCGTTTGTCGAGCTGCTCCAGCCGTTTTGTAAATTAAACACCGAAGGTAAGCCGAGTTTTCTACATCTTGTCACGCCACGCCACGCCACGCCGCGCCACGCCACGCCACGCCACGCCACATCACATCATACATCACATCACACATCACATCATACATCACATCACACATCACATCACATCACATCACATCACATCACATCACATCACATCACTCCGTTCCATACCATGCCAATGCGTTTATCGGCTGCATCATTCGCTTGACAGATTCCATGCATCGCTGATGCATATATTGTATATAAACTGAATGTATCAAGAGTTAGGCTCCGTGGACCATTCGCGATGTGTTTTGCTAATTGAGATATTGACTTGTTGAATGATTCCATTCTTCAGAATTTTTCTGGGTTATTTCTTAAGGAGTCACCTCTGACCAATGACTTCATGGATTGATTGATCTAAAATAGTAAACAATTTGAAAGAAATTGTATTAATATTTGCAAACATCCAGGAAAATGTTACTGTATCTAGAAATGTTCAAAAGTCATTCATTCAAATAAGGATAGATGGCAAGCAATTTGATATAATGAATTGTTGTTTGATATAATGAATGGAGCTTGATTTTTTATATATTTTGTATGAGCAAGACTTATTTATATACTGACTCAATGGATTTTCCACTGTGTGTCTATTAGATGTTTGGAAAATTAGAAATCTGATCTTCTGATCTATGTGCATGTCATATTAATGGCAACATATATTCTTAGGTCATTTTAAGGATCCTCAAGGAACTACAGTGGCAATTAGAAATCTTAGACTTTCCATACAAGATATTAATGCGCGACCGCCAGAACCGAGTCTTGCCAAGAAGTTGTTGAACGAAGCAGTCAGTTCTGCAATGTGTGAGCGTACAACTGCAATTCGCATTGGCGTGACTGAGTTGGACATCCCTGTTTCCGTTCCCTGGTTTGAAGCATGGAGAGAAACATTTTTGAACGTCCAATTTCCATCAGATCATGAATTCACAAAACATCTGCTCGCGTGCATGATAGTCATTTCCACGGCAGAAGACAATCCATTAGAAAGAATTCAAACTATGGGAGCGCAATTGCATCAAAGTATACCAGGAAAGTTGCCTAAGTGGTTCAACAATAATGCTCTTAGGTATTACATCTTAGTTCACGATGCCATTCAGGATGATAGAAATAAGTAAGTATATTACTTCTTTTTGTCAATTTTATATGTCAGTATTTTCTGGATTATTAAATTAAATAAAATAAAACATTAACAATCATTAACTTTTTTATAATCTTAATAATTGTTCTGAATTAATCAGTTCTTTTTTGTAAAGAGACATATCTTTCATAGCAGAATATATATCTTTCAGAGCAGAAACAGTTTTTACAGAGATGAAGACAATTTATGGTGCTAACAATTGTTTTCTATTGCAAATGAATTCGAGACCGCCTGGTCTGTCCGACGACAATACGCATTTGCCCGATCCTTGGAGTCAGTTTTTGACAAAACATTCGGAATTAGTTGGTAACAGTGAACAGAATAGTTCTCCTCGTACACCAGCGGATATAGATGGAGTATCTGCCATGCCGAGTGAGCTGACTACAGAAACTGAGAAGTGCGTTATT